AAGTTATCTGATCCTATGATACTACATGGACTTAGTAGGATATGTATATATAAAAGAATAGTAATTAAACAAGATATCACAAATTTGAAAGGGAGTTGGAGGGGCTAGGAAGAATTGGAGGGGTAAGAGGGAAGGGTAGATATAATGTAAATATAGTACTCATGTATGAAATTCTCAATAAATAAATAAAATTTAATAAAAAAATTCAAAAATGTGATGCTTAAACTTGAGAATTCTTTTTCTCTGCCACAAAGTGAAGATGGATTTGAACATTCCCTTACTGCCCTTAAATAAAGAAAATAGGTGCCAGAGAGATTGCTCAGTGGTTAAGAGCACTGACTGCTCTTCCAGAGGACCCGGGTTCAATTCCCAGCACCCACATGGCTCCTAAGAACTGTCCTTAACTCCAGTTCCAGGGGAATCTGATGCCTTCTTCTGACCTCTGCAGCATTTCATGACACGGGTGTACTCACATACATGCAGGCAATACACTTGTATACATAAAAAATAAAAATAAAGAAAATAAAACTTAATTAGACTCTTCCCTGACACCATTTGAGTTTATTTCTTCTTTATTGAAACAGAGTAACAAATCAAAGGTATTGGTGATGTTTCTCTGTGTAGGCTCTCCTTTTTGAATACTAGGTATCCCTGTGTGATATAAGGGAAAAAGTGCAGGTGCCTGGACAGTCATGCTTTAAAAATTATTCTTCTTATTCTCTTCAGTTTTATTTATCTCATTTATTTGAGGGGGCAGACCATACCAATACCAGAAGAACAAAGGACTTGTTTGTTATTTTTGAACATTTGACCCCTGTTGACGAAAGATGCTAATGTTCTCGAGATTTCTTTCAGTTTCTTCACCTCCATTTTTTTAGCACTCTAATCCAAACCTGCCTTTCTTAGATTTCTGAGAGATAATATATGGCTGATGCACCAGGCGGATGAACCCACCATTCTCACCTAGGACTCCATGCTTCTTTGCTGTGGAGCTCATCCTTGTGGCTTAGACTGGCCAACAGGTGAGCTTCAAGGGCTTCTTCCCATCCCCAGCTTTCTAATGTCATCCAAGTAATAAGGTCTTTCTTAACTTTTCTAAATGCCAACCTGCATCTTTTTGATGCTTCTGAGTTGAAGTCCTTCTTGTAAAAGGTGCATCAACCCTTAAATTCTTATCCTGATGGGAGATTAGAGATCTGTGTGTGAGGGTATGAGATGTTGGGCACACTGTAAGCCCATTAAGCATAGATGTGTAGTTGTGCTTTGATATGGGGCTGTGTTCACTCAGAAGGACTACCTTATTCTTCACAGCAGCGTGCTGTAGGCTCAATAAGATGTGTTCATGTTGACTCCGAGGTGATACTTTTTCTAAGTGTTATCAAGTTGTACTGTTGGAGGTGCATTCTTTTGCTTTTATAAATTGAGGAAGAATTCATATACCATGAATTAACCACTTTAAAGTGTATAATCAAGTGACATTTAGTGTATTGTATGTGTGTGGTGTGGTACATGTCCTCATGTGTGTGCAGGTGCACACTCCTGTGTGCGTGCATATGGAGGAGGCCAGAGGAGGATGCTGGGAATAATCTCCTCTTCCTCCTCCTCCTTCTCTCCTCCTCTTCCCTCCTCCTCCTCCTCCTACTGTGCTGGTGTGCATGATGTATGTTTATGCGCATGCAAGCGCACACATGCGTGTGTGTGCATGTGCACACATGTGTATGTCATGTGTGTGTATAGAGGTTAGAGGACAACCTTTTATGGAGTCTGTAGTTTACTTCCGTCTCTATGTGGGTTCTGGGGTAGCCAGGCTCTCCTGTCATTGAGTCATCTTGTTGGACTCTTCATCTTATTTTTTTGAGACATGATCTCTCACTGAATTTGAAGCTCTCTGTTTTGGCTAGGCTGGATGGCCAGTGAAATCCTGGAATCCACCTGTCTCCACCTCCAAGTGCTGGGGTACAGTCATGCTGTTCTGTTTTTTTATGTGAGTCCTGGGCATTTGGACTTAGGCCCTCTTGCTTTCACAGGAAACACTCTACTGAGCCCCACAGGACATTTTTTATTTGTTTATATTTAACACAGGGTCTCCCTGTAGACCCGGTTGGCCTGGAACTTGCTATGTAGACCAGACTGGCCTCAATCTCACAGAGATCTGCCTGCTTCAGCCTCCAGAGTACTAGGATTAAAGACGTGTGTCACCACTCCAGCTCCCATAGGACATTTTTTAATGCAGTATAATCATTGCTTCTTTCTGGTGCCAAACCCTTTTCATTGCACCAGAAGAACGTCCCATAATCTTTAAATAATACTTCCTATATCTTGCTACCCACAACCTGTAGCTCACCACATCAAATCTATGACCACAGACTTTATCCCTTGGAATAGAAGCTCCACTATAAGTCTTCTATTTAATCCTTTCTTTTCTTTAGAACACTTTCTGGATATTAGAATAAAAATGGCATAGGCTATGGTTAACCTCATGGTCTTTCAACCCATCCCTGAATTGCACATTTGTGCTGCTGCACATTCAATGAGAGGATTTGTAGAGATACAAAATTCTAACTGATCATTCCTCTCTTCATTTTCTGAAGTATTTGTGGAAGAGCATCAGTTACAAGGTGTTAACAAGTGAAATAAGAACAGAAAGTTTCCTGGCCCAATCTATTTGGGCATGAAGAATAGAGAGGTCCTCTTTAGTCTTCTAAAGAGATTTATAAATCTTCAAGATGACAGTTGTCCTAGTTTGATTTTCTATTGCTATGATAAAATACTCTGACATAAAGCAGTTTAGGGGAGGAAAAGATTTATTTCAGCTGACAGTTCTACGTCATAGTCCATCATTGAGGGAGGTCAGGGCAGGAGCCTGAAGGCAAGGCTCATGGAGGAATGTTGCTCACTGCCTTTCTCTCTGCTTCATGTTCAACTGGTTTTCTTACACAGCCCAGGCCTAGGAATAGTACTACCCATGGTGGACTGGACACTTCTATGTCAACTAACATTCAAGACAACGTCCTACATGCATTCTCACAGGTCAATTTGATTGAGGAAACTCTTCAGTTAAAGTTCCCTCTTCCCATGTGACTCTAGGTTTTGTCAAGTTGACAATGAAACTAACCAGGACCATAAAGGGTACAATGTTATTGGACCTTTGAGCATTTTTTCCCTTTGAACATCTGAGGATATTGTCAGTGTGCCACGTGTTTACTAGGTGATCTACTTACCTCTCCCTGGAAGGGAAATAGTAGATAATATAACCCAATTTTCAGATGAGAAATCATTGCCCAGGTCAGATGAAGGGACTTACTGAAGGAGTCATGGATTGTTGGTCACAGAGCTGGAACTAGAGCTATTATTTTACCATCTTGTATTTATAGTGTTTTCCAATTTGAATCATAACTTTGTATCCTTTTGATGTTTGAAGGAATCATACATGAACTCATATATGAGTGACTGGATGGGGTTGGCAACAACTCAAACAGCTGAATGACAAAAACTTCCTTTTGTAAAATTGGCTTTCTGAAACACTGTTTCTACCATATTATGTAACGAAGGATCACATTTATTTTTTAAAAGTTGTACATTTTGATTGTAGAATAATGGGCCATTTAATGGAGAAACAAAGGGCAAAAACACTATGGAAGACCATTTCTAAAAGAATAACCATATTAAAAGGAAAAAAGTATAGGCGCTTTGCTGAGATTTAAAAATCCCAGTACCCTGATATTATTAACAAATTCCAGGGGCTGGAGAGATGGCTCAGTGATTAAGGGCACTAACTGCTATTGCAAAGGACCCAGGTTTGGTTCCCAACATGTACATGGTGGCTACCAATCATCCTTAACTCCAGTTCCGGGGGATCCAATGTCCTCTTCTGACCTCTGCAGGTATTGCATGACATGGGTCCATATATACTTGTAGGCAATATACTCATACACATAAAATAAAAATAATCAATAAAATATTTTTAAAAATACCAAATGAAAGAATGTACTGACAATAACTTTTTATCATTAAAGAGATGAAATTTTTTTATTAAATCCAAATCCCAATAAGCTATTAAAATATTTCAGGTAACATTTATAGCAGCATATTACACACCACCCCTTTTCACACTGTAGGGTTGCCGTTGGCATTCAAGCCTATGAAGTCTTGTTCTTCCACCACAAATGAATTTACCTCCTGGGAAACTGTGTAGCTGTGATAAAAGCTGGGTTATGGATACTGAAATTCAGAAAATTGTCAGGACTCCAATTAGTTAATTTTGAAGTATCGTCTCAATATTCTTGTAAGAAGCAAGTTTTTCAACAGGTGGGCTCACAGCAGCTGGGCTCAGAGCAGGTGGGCGGGCAGCAGTGGCAGCAGCAGGCTGGGCGGCAGCAGGACTGTCCACAGTAGGATGGGCGGCAGCAGGAGGCCTGGGCATGGTGCAGCTGGCAGCAGGTGGGGGGTGTGCTGCTCACCACACAGCAGGGGGGCAGGCAGGTGCCCTCCACACGGCAGTCTGGGCGGCACCACCTGACCCGGCTGCTCACGGGGCCAGAGCCACCTTCTTGGCCACTGCCAGTTCCACAGCAGCTGGGCTGACAACAGCTGGGTTGGCAGCAGCTGGACTGGGAGCAACTTGGTTGGCAGCAGCTGGAGCCACAGGTCCCACCAGTGGAGCAAGTGGGGAACCCACAGAAGCTGGTAGCGCAGCAGGCCATGGTGTAGGAGTTGGGTTGAGTTGTGAGATTAAGAGAAGTTTCTGAATTCTGGCTGCTTGTTCTGCCCCGGGCCTTTTATAAGCCTTGGCCAGTCACTCTGTGACAGGCAGCATTTTTACCTCATTACTCTTAAAATCAGCTTTTCTAGGGCCCTCCGAGTTACTTCTAATATCTTCAAATTGGTTTTTCCTTATTGCTCAGCTAATACTCATCAAATATGCTCATCCTAGGTAGACATGTTACATGCTTCCTTCCCAAACAGTGCTGCAATTCCCAGTTGAGTCTCAGCCTCAGTTTGGTGCCTGTGGTCAGCGCACCTGACAAGGTGACTCTCACACATAAGACAGTATAATGGGGGGGCATACTCACCAATTTGCATATATTCAGAAAAGACTGATTAGCTATGGGCTGTCCATGTAAGACGATCTTTATGTTGTTTTACGTGAGTAAGATTAAAGTCTCTGCATCATCAAACAGAAAATGGCAAGTTCCACATCACAGGAATTCATAGATCCCTCTTGCTATTTGTTTCCACCAATTTCTGCAATCTGTTCTAAACTTAAGTAATTTATATTTAAGGAAATGTTTATCACCCAGAGGGTATATGGAACAAAATCTGTTTCATTCCAATTTAATTTTAAGAAGAGCTAAAATTCCTAATCAGTAAGTAGAAATTACCCCGCAAAATATTCAAGTGATATTTATGCTTCATGACAGTGAAAAATTAATGCTACATGGATAATTTGGACAATGTTCTCAAAGGCAGAATTTCTTTCACTGTATGTAAGTTTATGTTCCATGTGCCCTTCAAAAAGCATATTGAATCAAACAGCACAACAGCTGAATTTACAAAGAAAAAGTAATAAAAAAGGAAATTAGAAAATACTGTTTTTCTGGATCACCATATTTTTAAGGGAGATTATAAAATGAATGATCAATTATTGTTAAATAGGTACAATGATTAAGGTAAATCTTAGCGACCTAAAAGTTAACAAAATTCCTGGCACTTTCTTTAAAAAGGATGTGATTTATCTGTTGAGTGCTTAGGGTTACATGAAGGGACATAAAAAAAAGTGGTGGCAAAACTCCCACATATTATTGTTGGTGGTTGATTTATTCACCCCTTGCACTCAGGAATAGAAGCACAAAGTTAGCTTTTATGATGTGGAGGCACTCGTTTGATTAGTGACAGAGGCACACTGAAACATGATTCATGCCTGTTTCAGTAAAGACGTGTGCCATCTGCTAACTGTGACTGCAGACACAGAGCTGAAAAATGGTTACGTGTAATCATTGAATAGTACAGGCAAAAATTAGCAAGTCATCTATTTGACCAGTTAGTACGATTGGTGTGTAAACTAACATTGTTTCCAATGTAAATAGTATAAGCTTATTTGATTCTACTCAGCACAGAACACTGAAGGGTTATATAGAAAGAATATGTTTGTCAGCCTTTGTATTTTGCTCTGGTGCACAGATCAGTGAGGCATCAACATGATTAACTTTTCGGCTTCAAGGTCCTACACTGTAACCTTGCTCTTGTGGTCCAGACAACTTTAGCTTCCTCTCTGCATCAGTTGATGCTGGAATGCTACTGTGTCTGGGAATACACATGTTTTGAAGTTCAATGACTTTCTGCATTCGTAGAAGAGCTGGGTATGAAATTCCTATTTCTTTTCACTGGACTGGTTCTTTTTATTTTATAGCATGCTGATTTCCAGGGTCAACTAGTATCAGTAAAGCTCGTTGCAACATACCTTTTTTTAAATTTTAATTTAATTTTTTTTTTGGTCTTTTTGAGACAGGGTTTCCCTGTAGCCCCAGCTGTCCTGGAACTCACATTTTAACAGTTCAAGAGTAGAAATATGAGGTGGTGGGCAGAAAACTCTATGGAATGGTGATTTGAAACACACAGTACATAAGTGAAAATATGTTAAAATTCTTTTAAGCATTTTTAGACAAGAATAGTTCACCCCAGAACTGCGGTAAGTCACATTTACTTAGTCCCTGTTCCCCACATGATCATAACGACAATTTAATGGACCTTCTGGTTTTCTGCGTGTCAGACTCATTGTGTGTTTTTATTTCACGACCATCATCTTAATTCAGCTCCTACTGTCTATCACCCAGATCAGGGCCAAGGGCTCCTGATTAAGATCTGTAGAGCTGTTGTTTCTACAGACTTTGTGTGTGTGCATGCGTGTGTGTGTGTGTGTGTGTGTGTGTGTGTGTTATGAAAGAGCATATGTCTGTGTGTATGTGTGTGGAGGCCAGAGATCAACCTCAAATGTTATCCTCAGGAGCTGCCCACCTTGTTATTGAGACAGAGTCTCTCATTTGGGACCTCAGGCTTGTTAATTAGGCTCAGCTGTCTGGCCAGGGAACCTCGGGAATCCACCTGTCTCTGTTCTCCAGTGTTGGGATTACAAATCTGCACCACCATGGCCAGCTTTTTATATGGATGCTGGGGCTTAAACTTAGGTCCTCATGTTTCTGTAGCAAGCACTTTACTGACTGAGCCATCTGTTCATCCCCCCTTGGTTTCTGTCTGTATGGGGAGTTTCCATAGATACTACCCCTGTGTTAACTGTCATGCCGTTTATGGCCCCAAAGCTTTCAACGTCTCCTTGAACTTACTTGTCAACTCTTTTGGCTAATAGTCAAAGCATATAAATATTCTAAATATTTCTTCCACTATCACTGTCCATATATGCAGTGCTCCAGCCACACTGTCCTCTGAATGAACTTTAAGGCATATCCCTCTCTATCTTTCTCTATACTGTTTCCACTGCTGGGAATGTTCCCTTCTAATATGACTAACAAAGTCTTAACTCATATCAGATACTACCTTTTTCATACTTTCTTGTTCTCTCTAATCAATAAAAACACCTCTGGATGTCATATGGTATGTTATGGTATTATTTCCCATTTCCCTTCTTAGTGAAGTTGTAGTTGATTTGACTCTTCCCCCAAGAGGATTTTAAAGGGAGGGGGGTTAAACTCAATTTGAATGTCTCTTATATACCATGCAGTTTGTGGCTTGCAGGCAATTAGCACAGTATTTATTGTGTTGAGATTTGTCCATTGGGTCACGGTACGCTCTTTCAAATACAGGCAGTACTAACTGGACTCAGTGAGGGAAAATAAAATGAAATTGGGAAAGTGAAGTGCTTCACTGGGGGTTTGGGAGGGTCTGGGAGGAGTTGGAGGAGGAGAGTGGAGATAGATAGGATCAACGTATGCTGTATATGTGTATTAAATTGTCAAATAATAAGTAAAAAAGTACTTTTTACAAGGTATGAGTAAATAAGACCGAAGCAATGTTTGCAAGGCCAAAGAAGAGAAGTTTATTAGAAAATAAACATGCTCCAAGACCTTAGATCTAAGACAGAAGGAAGGATACAGACTTGCAGAACTCTTTATGGAAGAGTCTAGGTCTCCATTCCCAAGCTGGCTGATTTAGTATACTGGTGGTTCGAAGTAAGAAGTCTGTTAGGCAGAGAAATGGGAACTGTTTTCAGAAAGGCGGCAGTTTGCTCTCTGCTCAGCAGCAGGGGTCGCAGGGGGAGGTCCTGCAGGTGACGCGGCAGGGAGCAGGCTGGCAGCAGGGGGGCCGGCAGCAGGGAGCCTGCACAGAGATGGGCTGGCAGCTGGTGGAGGCCCAGCAGCAGGGTCTGCAGACCACAGCAGTGCAGGAGGTGGGGCAGCAGGTGATGGGGCGGCAGCAGCCCTGCTGCAGGCTGCAGGGGTCACAGCAGATGGGGCGGCGGCAGGGCTCGCAGATGGGGCGCGTGTAGTGGGGCACGCAGGTCACTGGGCGGCACACGGTGGTCTGGCAGGACACTGGGCGGCAGCAGCAGGGGTCGCGGCTGCAGCAGGGCTGGCAGCAGCCTCCACAGCTCTGGGAGGAGAAGGATCCGCAGCAGGAGTCGGCCATGGTGGTGGTGTGGTCTGGTGTGGGGTGGAGGAGTGGAGAGCAGTGGGTGGTTCTCAGGTGTGATGGCTTCCTCCCAGTGCCGTCCTTTTATATACCTGGGCAGGTGCTGGTGACCCCTCTTGTTTATCTTTCGACTAATTAACTAGACTTCTGTTTGACCAATGGTTGAGTCATGATCTCATTAAATATTTATTACATCTCCAAACATGAGTGTTTTCACACTGCTCATTGTGACAACTTGAGAACTCACAACCATTTGAGATGGTAGCAGCTCTAATTGATAGATAATTGTGCATCTTTATGGGATAGTTTGATGCTGTGGCACACTTACCCATTGTGCACCGAACATCTATGGAGGCAATTTATCCATCACCTCAGATAGTTATCATTTCTTTATGATGAGAACATTCATAATTCTGGCTTCTGGATATTTTTATTATGCAATACAATATTGTTAAGTGCAGTCACCCTCTTTATAATGGAGCATGAGAATCTTTTCTCTTATCTGACCACTTCTTTGTACATGCTAATTAATCTCGCAGTCTCCCTTCCCCACCATTCCTTGAAGCTCATTTCATGACTATAACATCGGGATAAACCTGGACCAAATGGCCACAAGAGAACCTTAGTTTTTAAAAATAACTAAACATAGAACAATACTTAGAACATTGACTCTATTCTTCTCCCCCGGTGGCAGCCCTAGAAGACCACACAAGCATTAGACACATTGTTCCATAAGAGCCTTTGAGATACATTTATTTATCACTTGGTATAAAACGTTATAAATCCCTTCCATAGAAGAGAAGTTCATATACAGAAAATCAAAGTTTGTTTTTCTAAACCAGATATGTCTTGAAATAAAATATCTAAGATTATTATGCATCGTTTTCTTTTCTCTAATTCAGGGTGTATGCAACTCTGATCCTTCTGGTCAGAGTATTGATGTTTATCTCTAAAGTGTGACTTCTTTGAGGCAGGGCCTCAGTGTATAACCCAGGCTGGCCTTGAACTCATCCTCCTCCTTGCCTCAATCCTCCATGTGTTGGGTTACATCAACATGTCC